TATATTCAGTTAGAATACTTTTAGATATAGGTTAGAACATGATTATCTTAACAAACATAACATTTTCTGAACAGGCACTTATTACTTTAACTTTCGAATTCAAAAATTAAATTAATAAATTTAAACATTTAACTATATAAAGCTGAAAAAAGTTAAAGTGTCTTGTATTCTATCAATGAGGTATAGTAATTACTTATTTTTCCTTCTCATTATTACTAACTTTTCTCAATCACTAACTAAAGAATAGTTCAGATAATACTTTCCAATTAATATGACCGAGATAAACTTCACCAAAGCATACGTTGATTATAGTAATTAGTTGTATGTTATCCTTGTTTACCTCGAGTTGCCTCTCCTGGAGATTGGACCTTTTGTCTCCTTCACTCCTTGTAACAGTATATGCAACTGAACCATGCCTTGATGACTTTGTTGAGCTCGACCTTGACGTGTTTCCTTCATCCATTTCTAAGCTTAACTGCAAGGAAAAATTTAAAACACAAGAACATAACCAACATCATAATTTTAAGTCTATGTCAAAACGGTAGGCTATATCTCCTACTTTTGTAGCTAGTAACCTGCGAAACTCGGTTCTCGAGCGCTGTGAGCCGCTCTATGAGTGTGCCTTTGAGATGAACTTGTTCCAGAGCAGAGGATAGAGTCAGAGTCTGACTCTTGCACTCATCCTGATCTTCTTCTGCTTTCTTTACGACAGTATTCAGGGAATTATGTCTTCCAGAAAGCTCATGTTTCTCTTCCAGAAGCTGCAGCTGCACATAATCACCATTTAATTTATTCAATAAGAAGACACACTATTGTTCACGACTTGTATTGATACAACCCACGGAGAACCTGACGGAGGCTGATTAATTTAGGGGAACCCCTTCGCCGAAAAATTACATTGTACGCATAATGTTTTGCGCCTTTATATATTACTCTATATTTTGAATCTTCTTGACACAGCCCAATAGCATGTGGGGTCAAGGAGGTTTGAAACTTTTGTGAGGTCACTAGTTTTCTATTCCCGCGGAACCGTCAATGAGTCCACAACCCAAAAGCTAGCAATTGAGGTGGGAGAGTCCAAGACTATATAAATTAACCACATATATATCAACATATTACAATACCGACATGGTACGTACTCAAAGTTCCATATCTTGGAATAGACCATAACATGTATGCACTTTAATTATTGTATTAAGTTTCATAATTATCAAAAAAAGGGGGAAGCAAATTATCATAATATTTTTAGTTGAAACAGAAAAAAGAACTTACCAAGAAATCCAGTCGATCTAATCTTGGAATAACAGGCAATGAACAAGTTAAGTCTTTATTCTCGAGCCGGTTCATTGTTTCTAAAAGCAAGCCGGGAATTTTCTTTTATGGGGGTTATTGTCCTCTTTAGCTTCTTTTTATTATGGTGTAAGTACGTAGTGTTTGTGCATATATATCACAAATTTATGACTCATATGCTATAGTTGAATAAGAATTAAAGAAGAGACATTGAAGATGAAGACACCGCGGTTCTTGAATATTGGTAAAGAATCAATTGGTGATATTAATAGAAGCTCACTCAAAGTGAAAGCGAGGGGAGTTGGGGGTTACTTATTAAATGGCAACTCCCACGCCATACTCTTTTGTCGACACTCATGATTCGTCATCGATCTTTGACTAGTAGATTTTTTTAATCCTTTTTTTTCCTCCTTTAATTTGGATTCTTATCTCAACGTGGCCTATATTATATATAATACAGTGGTATGAATGTATGATAACAAAGATCAATCTCAACGACCTGCCGGTTTCTTCTCTCCCTATATATAGCTCGTTACGTCTACGTGCACATTTGTCTTTCACAAGGAATATGGCTTGCGTCATTGTTTGGCTATTGGGATCATATTGTCAATCAGTTTAAGTTTAGAAAGAAAAGATAGAGAAGCTAGAGAAATTTTTTGTGTATTTCAATTAGATTGCTATGGACTGTACAGACTAATTCTTATATACAACAAAGAATGGAATCTAAGGCCTAACTACCTGCACACTTGTCTACCATCCTATTGGCTATTCTATAACAAACCCACATGTTATTTACAAAATAAATGAAAATTGCAGAAATATAAAACAACTAATACTAGACTTGTCTTCAGCTGCTTCCTGTGAGCCCAAACGAAACAGTCCATTGAGCCCAATAGATATGAGACCAAAATAAAAATAGAAGCCCAAACAAATTCAATATCTATATGACCAACTTGTTCTTCAGACATCAAAATCATTTTCAGACATCAAAAGTATCGTAACAAACCAACTTTACCCTTCTGTCAAATGAGCTCTTCTTCTTCTTCATCGTTAGTCCTTTTCTGTATCTTTGAGCAAGAATCCATGGATCCCAGAATTAGAATGGGGTTTTGTCTTCCCAATATCCCCCCTCAAGTTGGAGGGTAACCTGGTGACCCCCAACTTGTTCAAAATTTCTGAGTGAGAAACCCCTGATAGAGGTTTTGTGAAGAGATCCGCCAGTTGTTCTTTAGAAGGAACAAAAGAGAGTGTAATTAACCCGGAAAGGAACTGTTGACGCACAAAATGTCAGTCAATCTCCACATGTTTTGTGCGTTCATGGAAGACGGGGTTACGGGCGATGTGGATGGCTGCTTTGCTATCAGAATGAAGAGGTATGGGAAGATTGACTGGTGCAGACAGATCCTCAAGAAGACGAACAAGCCAAGTAAATTCTGCAGTCACTCTGCGCATAGATCTATATTCTGCCTCTGCAGATGACAGAGAAATTGATATTTGCTTCTTTGATTTCCAAGAAATTGGTGCTCCTCCTAACGTGATAAAAAATCCACTTACAGACCTTCTTGAATCCTTGCAGGAAGCCCAATCAGCATCACAAAAGGCAAACAAAGAGAAAGATGGTGCTGCTGATAGAAGGATGCCTTGTCCTGGATCTGAGCTCAAGTATTTCAACACTCGTAATGCTGTAGTGAAGTGAGAGAGACATGGCTTCTGCATGTACTGGCTGAGAGTGAGAACTGCAAAGGAAAGATCCGGGCGAGTGTTAGTCAGATAGTTCAACTTCCCAACTAGATGTTGATACACTGTGGGGTTTTGCAAAGGTCTTCCATCATCAGCTTGAAGTTTGGAAGAAGGGTCAAGAGGAGAGGTAACTCGACCCAAGTGAGAAACTTCAAACTCATTCAGCATGTCCAAGGTAAATTTTTTTTGACTCACAATAAAACCTTCTTTTTCTCTCAGAATTTCCATCCCCAAAAAATAATGTATGCTTCCTAGATTTTTGACTTTGAATTCAGTATTTAGTAAATCCTTGATGTGTTTGATCTCTTCCAAATCATCTCCAGTTAGTAGGATGTCATCTACATAGACAGCTAGTATAGAAATCAGACTTCCTGTTCGTTTAAAGAATAGAGAATAATCATTTAATGATGAAGAATACCCCTTAAAACTCAAAGCCCCTGCAAGCCTGGCATACCATTGCCTAGATGCTTGTTTCAATCCATATAATGACTTCCTTAGTAAACAAACATGCTTAGGACTGGGAGATGTTAAACCTGAAGGAAATTTCATATACACCTCCTCCTGAAGGTCACCATGCAAAAATGCATTGTTGACATCCAATTGAGACACATTCCAGTCTCTTTTGGCTGCAATAGTGAGCAAACATCTTATGGTGGTCATTTTGACCACTGGTGAAAATGTCTCTCCATAATCTATCCCCTCTCTTTGGACATCCTCCCTCACTACCAGCCTTGCCTTAATCTTTAAACTCTTCCATCTGATAGATGCTTCACCTTGTACACCCATTTGCAAGGTAAAGCTCTTTTCCCTTTAGGTAGCTCAACTACATCCCATGTGTGGTTGTCTTCTAGTGCCTTAATCTCAGAATCCATAGCTGCAATCCAACCTGGATGCTGACAAGCTTGTCCAAAACTGTTAGGCTCTGTAGTGTAGAAATTGACTGCATCACATGTTGATTGTTAGGAGATAGAGAGGAGAAACAATACTCCCTAGGTTTAGTTGGTTGAGTGAAACAAGCAGCTCCTACAGCTGTGAACATGATATTACTGCACACATAGTCTTTTAGGTAGGTTGGTTGGTTGGTAACCCTCCCTGACCTTCTCACTGGTGTAGCCTGGTTAGGTTCAGGAAGTGGTGATATAGTATGTGATGTATCTGGGATTAGGTGAAAAAGAAATTGGACTAGAAGGTGAGTAATAATGGTGAGGTGTTGATGAAGAACTTGGTGATGGTGAAGAAAAATTATCGGGAAGTTCAGGTTCCAAAGAAATAGATGATAGATGATCCTGTGATGGAGCTGAGTAGGTGTATTCTGTACTAAAGGTTGGGTTGGAAAAAATGGGCTGATGTGAAGATCTGTTCTTAGCAAAAGGAAAATGTGTCTCATGAAACTTGACATCCCTTGAAACAAATACTCTTCTTGTGGATATTTCTAGTAGCTTATATCCTTTTTGATCAAGGGGGTATCCAAGCAAAACACAGGCTGTTTCTCTCTCATCAAACTTTCCTCTTCCTTGTGCTAATGTTGAAGCATAACAAAGACATCCAAAATTCCTTAAATAATCATACTTAGGCTTCTTCTGAAACAAGACCTCATATGGTGTTTTTCCTTTAAGAACACTAGAAGGCATCCTATTAATAAGATGTGTGGCAGTTAAAATAGACTCTCCCCAATATGACATAGGTAACTTTGATTGAAACATCAAAGCTCTTGAAGTCTCCAAAAGATGTCTATGTTTCCTTTCAACAACTCCATTTTGTTGGGGAGTTTCCACACAAGACAATTGATGTAGAATTCCTTGAGAGGCTAGGAAAGCTGCCTCTTGACTCCCTTTTCCCAGTTCCAATGCATTGTCAGATCTTATCACTCTCACCTTCTCATTGAATTGTCTCTCAACCATAGATAGGAAAGATTTAAGCATAGGAAAAGCATTACTTTTAGCACTTAATTAAAATGTCCATGTCCCCCTACTATAGTCATCTATAACATCAAAGAATGAAATCTAAAAAAGTTGCTTAGTCCCATTCTTTATAATTGTCTTTCTCATACTGTGTAAACGAACTTCAAGTCTGAATTGTGTACTCAACAAGAAGCGTCACAGCCACCCCCGATGTCGATCTGCAGTATTAGTTTGAGAAAGTCATTTGGTTTTTAACCTAGAGCGATTGGTTTACCTCTTTCAGTCAAGTAATGCCTTTAGAGCCTATAGTATAGCTGAGTAGCTAAGAGCTTCTAGTAATTTAAAAACATAGGAATCGACTTGTTTTGCGTTAATGTGGCTTTGAGGGACGTCTTCTCTTTCCCTTATCAAGCAAGTCATACCTAATCGCTCTTATAGAAGAGCTACAGAGGCGGATGCGGATTCAGTCCGAGCTAAGTTCATAGGTATTGCCTAAAAATATCAATTTTATAGAACCCGTTGGGGAATCTATTCTAGACCCGCCTGCCGGCCCTAAATCTATCTTACTCTTCCTTGGTCTCTTTCTTGGTATTAAAGTCTTCAATCTGTGTGGAAGTAGACTATTCTTCATCTACGCAAAGATGAATTACTGCTTATTCGACCGGCCCTACCGAAGTACCAAAGGCTTTCGAGGCTTACACCTCCCTATTACAGGACCTAAAAAAAGGCTTTCAGTAGCGCCCTTAGAATCTAATTTGAAGCCCCACGCACGCTCTATTCTTTTCTCCAGCTTTCCCTCTAGTAAAAGATTAGCTCGTACCCTCTCTCTGTGTCTAGGGATTCCTGGGGCATGAGTTAAGCATATAGTTAATTGCTCTTTCTTTCGATTGAGCGTCGGTACTTTTGGAGTCTCTCTCTGTAGGCGTGCAAAACAACAGATCCATAGCTATCACCTTCTTTGGCCAGATCTTCCAATTTTTTCACAATTACAGTTCACTGCGGCCGCTCCATTAAAGGGCGGCGGCTTGACCTTACGCCTTCTACTAGTCTAAGCCACACTGGGACTGAGAGTGGAGTCATTCGCGTTTGAATGAAAGTATAGCTCTCGCCTCAGCTTTTTCTTTGAAATCGGAGACGGGGAGTCCTGCACTTGCGTCCATAGAGTGCCTCAAAAGGTGGCATGCCTATACTCGCCTGAGAACTCTTGTTATAGGCGAATGTAACCAAGGGTAGATGTCTGTCCCAACAACCTCGAAAATCAAGGGATTACCTCCGCATAGCCTCCAATGTCTGGATGGTCCTCTTAGACTGGCCATCGGTCTGAGGATGGAAGGCTGTGCTAAGACTCACTCTGCTACCCAAAGCCTTCTGTAGGCTCTGCCACAAGGCTGAAGTGAACCGTGGATCTCTGTCTGATACTATGGATGATGGTATCCCGTGTAGGCACACTATCTCATCAATATATATCCGGGCTAGCTTGCCCGTCGAGCCGTCATTTACGACTTATCGGGACTGGTCGGATCGATTTCCAAAGGTTCCCAATCAATTCTTTGTTCTTTTATTCTTAAATATGAGTGCTAACCAGATTCCCCATGTTATATGCGAGGTCAATAAAATTCTCCAGAGAGTGAGTTTCTGATCATAATGACCACCTAAAGTTGGATTTCCAGTTGTAGTTTTTAGTTTGGGGTGCCAATAGTAGCTTGAAATTCAAGTTAAGGTATATCCATCCCAGATTACTCTCTCTGATGTTGCTGTTATAGCTCAAACTTATACAGACTTAACTGGAGGTGCGGGACGAACTCATGCTGGAAACTCTCGTCGACGCCGTCAAGTATCTTGCAGACGTGGACGAGTTGCCCGAGGAGAAACGATATCGAATTGTCCAAAAGCTCATCAACCTGTCCGAGGGATGATGAAGGCGATGCCACAATTGAGGGAACCGCCCTCTTACTCTTTTTTAGATAAGAATGCGAAAGACCCTGACCCTGCCAACCAAGCCCACTCAGATAGACACGGCTCTCCCACTTGAGTTATCTTAGCCCCAAGCCATGCTATTCAATAATATTGGAAAAATGGCAGCGTAAGGTAACAACTAGTATGGAAAGCTGGTCGCCTTTGGAAGCCTTCGCCGGTAACCAAAGCGTATCGTTCCAGTCCAGATATCTCCCTTCGAGATTGCCAGCATCAGTCTAAGTAGCTTAAGTTTTTGAAGAAAAAGGTAGAGAAGGAAAGGTGGTTGAAGCAGGACCATAAGAAGTACCTTTAGCATTTCAAGTACCCGGTTCAGAGCCAGGACATCTTTGGCATATCCACCAGCAGCGCCATAACCCGTCAAAGAGTCTTTCTATCTACTAAAGCATATAAAGGAAAAATCTAAGATTGAGGTGAGCTAGCTTACTCTGCTATAACTATTGTGACTTCCATGTCTTTCTATCTACTAAAGCATATAAAGGAAAAATCTAAGATTGAGGCGAGCTAGCTTACTCTGCTAGAACTATTGTGACTTCCATGCTACTAAGCTAATAAGATCGGGAGAAAAAGTTCTTAAAGAATGTTCATTTTATTTGATAAGTAATCAAGAGTGGCATCTCGAAAGTGCCGCTAGTCGGTTTAATCATGGAACGTCCAAAAAGCCTGGTCACTTCAGGGTTGGAACATCAGAGCAGAGGCGGGCATAGAATCTATGAGTGTTTGAATTGAATCCCTTGGGACTTGAAACTGAATCTTAGTCTGCCCCAAAATAGAGTTTCTATTCGAATCCCTACTCAACACGGTGCCTTAAGGAGAATCCGAAGCTGGTTGCTAGCAGAAGTAGCGCGACAAAGAGCAAAGCGGAGCATTCACAAAGAAATGGTGTAAGCAGAAGGGAAGGCGCAACGGTTAGCGACTGTCCTACCTTATTCTTCTCCCGTTCGGGACCCCTATTTTCTCGGAGATAGCCTGGTCTGAGCTAGAACAGCAGATTCGTGAGCAAGAGCGTATTTCACAGCTGATTCAACAACAGCCATTTTTTCTGGGGAACTTTCATATGAGTCTGTTCTTTCTTTTAATCCACTATAAAGGTTCTAAATTATCTACCAGAGCAAAACGCCTTTTATATAGAAGCGGTCAGTCCCCATCAAAAGGATTCTATCTAGTCTGGCCCAGATACAATGTTGACCGGTTTGATTATTGCTCCAAGTCAATTTGCTGTCATTGAAAGCCCAATCAAATAATCCAAACTATAGTGAGGAAATATCTGAACCATTGTAAGTATTTGACTTATAAGGTCCCCATGTGTCAATATGTATAAGCTCAAATTTGTGCTTTGAACTTATTTTTATTGATAGGGAAAGGATTTCTGGTTTGCCTAGCCTTAGGACACACATCACAAACAAAATCAGAATTAGATTTACAATGAAAGAAATCTAAATGTTTCATTGCTGAAAATGGGAGGTGACCCGATCTTACATGCCAAAGATTAACATCTGAAACAGTGTTGACTAGGACTGGACTAGGAAAAGAAACAGACTCTGAAATGGAATTTCTTCCTTTTGGAATTGAAAATACATCATTACTGAATAAACCCTTAGACTTAATACTACTTGGTTCCAATAAGTAGAGCCCTTCTCTAACTTCACCAAAAGCTTGAGGACTCTTCATTGAAAGGCCCTGCAACACACACTCAACAGATGTGAAGAGCACATCATATTTGAATTGAACACAAAATCTATGAACTGATAGCAGATTATACTTGAATTCTGGAACATGCAATACATTGTTCAGAATATGACCAGGCAGAATAGAAATGCTCCCTATGTGAGTAACAATCACCTTGAAAGAGTTAGGTAAACTGATGTTCAAAGGTACAGGGAGTGGAGACAAAAACAAGAAAGAATTAGGATCAAAACACATATGCTCTGAGGCACCTGAATCTATGATCCAGGTGTCTGATTTTAAACTAGTGAAAACTAATCCTCAGTACTTCAGAATAGTACCTGCTATTGTATTAGCATTGATTCCTGTATTTCCTGCCTGTGCCATTTTTGTTTGCTTATAGATGTGCATCATTTCTACAACCTGCTCTTTGCTAAGCTGCTGACCAAAGTTATTCCCATTAAGTTCATTTCCTTGTCCTGCTGGGCTTTCATGCTCTTCATTTGCCACCACTGCATTCCCCTTAATCTGATTCTGATATCCTTTGTGATTTGTGAACTCAAAATCATCAGGAAAACCAATGATTCTGTAGCAATCTTCCTGTGTATGTCCTGTTTTTCCACAGTAAGTACAAGACACATTTGGATTGTATTTCTTCTTTGCTTTGAACTTCTGCTGAGGCTTAATAAACTTCTGTCCAGAATTGTTAAATTTGGGTCCTGTCCCTGCTCTGCTTTGTGTCTGGTTTCTGAATTTCTGGTGGTTCTTTCCTTGTCCTGTAATCATGAAAGCTGCAAAATCAGCTAGAAGTTGTGCATTAGGCTCTTTGTTCTCTCCTGCTGCCATGAATGACACTGATTGAGAGTTAAAATGTGCATTTGCATAGACTTCCCTTTGATTTTCATCCAGTAAGAGAAGAGAATAAGCAACATCCATGCTGGGCAAGGGATTCATCATGAGGATGTTTCCTCTTGCTTGTGCATAGATGTCATTTAGTCCCATTAAAAATTGGATCAACCTCTGATCTTCCAGTGACTTAGTTAACTTTGCCTTTCCTTCACAAACACAAACACAAGAGCAGCATATGATGACATTCAAAGCATCCAATTCATCCCACAAACGTTTAAGCTTAGTGAAATATCCTGCAATATCACTATTTCCCTGTACTAAACCTGATAATTCCTTTTGCAGGTGATAGAGCTTAGCTCCATTTGATTTTCCAAATCTCTGCTCAAGACTGTCCCAAAGCTCTTTTGCAGTTTTTGAATAAATGACACTATCTGCCATATCCTTTGAGAGAGCATTAAGGATCCAGGAGATGACCATGTCATTCACACAATTCCATTGTTCAAGTTCTGGAGAGTTGAGACCTGGAGATTTGCAAACTCCATTGATGAATCCAAGCTTCCTTTTAGCTGACAAGGACAAGAGAATGGATCTCCTCCATCCTGGGTATCCTCTTCCATCAAATACAGTATTGACTAGAGTCATACCCGGAGAATCAGAGTTATTGAGGTGATAGGGGTGATTAACATCATAGGTCACAGCCTTTGCAGTATTACTGGTTTCTGGAGTAGTGGTTGTGTCGCCCATTTTGTTCTATTGAAGAAATTGATGTAATAGATTGATTGTATTACTGGATCGAGCTAGCTGCTCTGATACCAAGAAAGAAAAGATAGAGAAGCTAGAGAAATTTTCTGTGTATTTCAATTAGATTGCTATGGACTGTACAGACTAATTCTTATATACAACAAAGAATGGAATCTAAGGCCTAACTACCTGTACACTTGTCTATCATCCTATTGGCTATTCTATAACAAACCCACATGTTATTTACAAAATAAATAAAAATTGCAGAAATATAAAACAACTAATACTAGACTTGTCTTCAGCTGCTTCCTGTGAGCCCAAACGAAACAGTCCATTGAGCCCAATAGATATGAGCCCAAAATAATAATAGAAGCCCAAACAAATTCAATATCTATATGACCAACTTGTTCTTCAGACATCAAAATCATTTTCAGACATCAAAAGTATCGAAACAGACCAACTTTACCCTTCTGTCAAATGAGCTCTTCTTCTTCTTCTTCATCGTTAGTCATTTTCTGTATCTTTGAGCAAGAATCCATGGATCCCATAATTAGAATGGGGTTTTGTCTTCCCAATAAATTAGTACCACCTTGTCTCCCTTAGTTAAATTTATTTCGGTTTACCACTATGTGTTGCTGTATATATGTTGTTAATATTATGTTGACGATAAAATTCGACATACATATGCCAACGCCGAAACACACATACCTCACGTGAATGGTATATTGGGTTTGAAATACTATTGACATCTTTATTAATTACATATGATGTTGCAATTAATATTCGTTTATTTCCTATCAAATTTATTATGTTATGATGTTAGTAATTACGACAGAAGTCTAATATTGTGAATAACAAATAATTTATTAGGTTTACTTTTTTTTTTGTGTAGGTATTTGTCGTGATTTGCCATGTTTAATTTTGTTACATCAGGTGCAACATATTCTTCCATCTTCCAAATATCGTATATCATTTCTTTTCTATCCAATAAAGATAAGATGACCCGATCAACTAAGACAAAATTAATGATGCTCAAAAGTATATTAAGTAATAACTACTGATATTCATACCTCGAATGATCTTTTCTTTAAATCTAAAGATATCATGCTCGATAAAAAAGTTATTAATAAAATAGTTGATATATAAATTATAAAAATAGTGAATGATTTAACTAAATAGAATTGGCTTATACATATAGTATGGAATTAGATAATCCGTGTAAACATATAAGAATAAAAATATTGAAACAATTATGGATTCAAATGATAATGGCAAGAGTATAAATCACTTCTGAATGCTATGCTGCCACAAGTTACTTTTATAATTAAAATACCATTATTTGATTTCTTCTACCACAAGAACGAAATCCTATAGGAAGAAGGAGTTTTAGAACTGGAGTAGCAGATAAATAAAGATGAATAGCAATATATCTACAACTCTCAAGAAGAATTGGCAGAATAATTAAGGAGAATGACATACTGTTTTGTATATCCGACAAAAAATAACTATCATAAAACCAATGGGATAATTATTCTTTCATGTTACTAATCCGCTCGAAAAATCATTTAATACATATGATTTTCTCATTAAAGCCAACAATTGAGTAGATTTCAATTTAAAAATTTAGTTACTTATTAAAGGGATACAATCTCTTAGAAAGAAAATTTATATATATATATATATATATATATATATATTATATATATATATATATATATATATATATATATAATATATATATTATATATATGTATATATATATATATATATTGTTATATATATTATATATAAATTATATATATATATATATATATAATATATATTTTAAAGGCAGGATACTTAGGATATTTAAAATGTATTTAGATATTTTAACTTTTAAATTTTGGGTAAATAATTTATTGCTAATATGCTTGAGAATATATATCTTGTCCATGACTATTTTGAGGCCGAAAACAAGAACAACAAAGAAACAGAAAAGCTTAGTCCCAAAAACTTCAAACTCGATTGATTTTAATCAGAAAAAATTTCAATTCAATAACAAATTGTAAACCCATATCAGAATATTAGTTGAGAAACAAAGGCAAAGAGCAGTGTATGAGTCCAAATTTGGCAACCACGACCATTACCGAGTAGGACGAGGAATGAGGTTATCATGATGCACTGTCTGATGGTCGTCGTGGTGAAGGGCAACGATTAAGGGCGGTCAGTCGATGCATGACATCCACGACAGTATAAACTTAGTAGGAGACATTAAGAATATGCCTTTCGAATATTCTCCCATGTTGTACTTTTTAGGATTTTTTGGGAGATTATCCCTTATAAATAGGAAGGGTGAGTAAAGAAAAAGGGGAAGGGAGAAAAGAGACAAAAAAATACTCTGTAAAAGAATCCTCAGAGAGTAAATACAAAAGCAGTCTTGTTCATTTGAGAAACTCAAAAGATTCCCCAATCATCTCATATTTATTCCCCCCTCAACGCCGATTGCATCTTTTAAGATTGATTGTGCATTTAAGTCTTCACATTTATGAGCATTCATTTGATTCCAATATATTTGTTACATCATTCATCTTGCTTGCTCTCTTCATCGCTTGATCTAGATTTTATTGTGTTTAACTAAGATTGACCTCATCTTTATCATTAGTTGCTTTAATCATAAAGGTTTTGACATCTTTTGGTCAAACAATTTGGCGCCGTCTGTGGGGATTTCTTTAGTTGAAATCATAGTTTCATCTAGATCATAGAAAGGGATATATAGCCATCTTTTCCTAGCTTTGCATAAACTAACAATGGCAGGGAAAGGAGATGCGAGATTAAAAGCGATAGCAGATGTCACCGCCAACATTTTGAACACTATCAATGAAGACGTCAGGGAAGACAATGAAAATGTGACGCCAAGCGCTACGCTTAGGCGAAATGCTTCACCTCCCTCCCCCCCCTGCGAAAGCATTACTGCTTCGCGTGAAAAAGAAGCCTCCATGTCATTGACAGAAGAGGCGCCACCGGTGGTAAAAAGGTTACTGGAAGAATGGCTAACAAGCACTCTGAACAACATACTTGACAAACCCACCCAAAGGGAGAACAGGGACGCTGTGCACGTAGAAATCACGACAGACACGACGAGCAAGAAGCCCCCGAACTGGTAACACTCACACTGTTGTTGATGCAGGTAGCGATGCACTCACAGCCATTCTAAAGAAAGTGAAGGAAATGGAAAACGAAAATAAGGCGCTCCGTGACCAGATGAAGGAGCATCAAGAAAGGGTTGATAAGATACCGGGCGCCCCAAAGTTGTTACCAAAACGAGACGTTGGCCGATTCATCGAAAAACCATACAATGAGGAAGCAGCCCCCCATGCCATTCCTAACACCTTCAAAATGCCACCGTACCTGATGATATACGATAGTACCACAGACCCAGAAGATCATATCGTTCACTACGTCACATCGGTAAAAAGAAATGATCTTTCGAGAGAGCAAGTACCGTCGGTGCTACTGAAAAAGTTTGGCAAAACCCTGACAGGGGGAGCCCTAACCTAGTACTCACAACTGCCGGCACGGTCAATAGCAACGTTCGAACAGATGGAAGACAAATTTGTCACCGTCCATGCAAGGGCCAAAAAGGCGGAAGCCAGGGTAAACGACATATCACCGTCAGGCAGACACCTGGCGAGGGACTCATGGACTTCCTAGCCCGGTTTAATAGAGTGAGAACGAGCCTACCGAATGTATCGAAAGGGATGGCGGTAGCAGCCTTTCAGAACGAATTGAGCAGAAACGGGTCAAGAGCAATCAGAAAGCTAGTAAACAGACTCATGAAATATCCTCCCGCCACTTGGGAAGAAACCTACAACGCCTACTGCGCCGAGGTGAGAGCCGACGAAGATGATCTTAATGGCCCGATTCAACGATTGACATCAGTTCAAGCAGAGGAAAGGAAAGATCGACGCAATGATGGTCGAAGGGACCAACTGGGTCCCCGTCTAGGTCGAGAAAGACATCAGTCCTACATCAGAGGAACCATCGCACACCCCCCGCGGCACATGGATGGCCCTCCTCGACATACCACGACACCGCAAAATGAAAGAGGTATGCCTCCACTTTTATCTGCTCACAATTTATGTGTTTCCCCTTCAGAAATAGTGTACGCACTAGAGAAGCTCGGCACGAAGGTACAATGGCCGCAGAAGATGAAGTCCGATCCAAGTACTCGGAAATCAAATGCCCTCTGCGAATTTCACCAGGAACGGGGTCATAAAACCGAGGACTGCATAGGTCTGCGGCAGGAGGTGGTGATGATGCTGAATTCGGGACACCTGAGAGAGCTGATGAGCGACCGAGGTTAAGCCAATTTTGCCCGCAGACGCAAGCAACCCCAAGGACCTCCAAAATCGCCTTCTCCCACTCGCACCATAAAAATGATCATCGGTGGAGGTGACAGGACAGCAATCAACCATGTGAAATTCACCACTACACACAAACTCAAACGGTCGATCACTCACGAACGGTATGACAACCTCGAAGATAGTATCGTCTTCGATAAGTTAGATACCGAAGATTTGTCTTTCCCTCACTATGATGCTTTAGTTATTACTTTACGTATTGTGGATACTGATGTGAAAAGAATAATGGTGGACGACGGAAGCGACACGTGTATTATCCATCCCCGAGTCCTCTTACAAATGGGGCTCGAAGGTAAAATAATACCACGTTGCATAACACTACCGGGTTTTAATAATGCAGTCGAACGAACTTCAGGAGAAATAATGCTACCCATCCTAGCCGGGGGAGTCACCCTGGAAACAACATTTCAAATCATGGACCAAGACACGGCCTACAACGCCATCATAGGGCGACCATGGATACACGCCATGCGAGCTATCCCATCAAGTCTCTACCAGGTAATCAAGTTCCCTACTCCATGGGGAATATTCAGCATACGAGGCGAACAACGCACCGCGCAAGAATGTTATCTCATCGCCCAAGATTGCGCACACACCCAACAA